AATGCAGAAAGATTTGAACCCTGGGGCACTCCTACTTTATTTACTGCCCAATCTGAAAAAGAACCCCCAAAAGTTTTTATTCTTTGTTTCCTATCATATAAATAAGAACTAAACCAATTCACAGTTTGCAAACCAAAATTGTATGATTCAAGGATAGATAGTAAGAGCTGATTTTGCACGCAGTCAAAAGCGCGTGTAAAGTCCAACATTACCATCAACATAATTTGTTTATTACCTGTAGCCAATCTGATATCATCTGTAACTCTAATCAAAGCTGTTTGCGTACTGTAAGATGGCCGATATCCTGACTGATATTTGAACAATATGTTGCTATCATTTACATACCTACACACTTGCTGGAATACAATCTTTTCTAGAATTTTCCCCAAGACACACAATATATTTATGGACCTATAATGTTTACATTCTGTTGGCTCAGTAACTTTAGACAGAGGAAGAACAAGAGCTTCTTTCCATTTTTCCGGGTAAACACTATTACATAGAGAGTACAGTAGAGTCCCACAAACTCGGCACTCGATAACCCGGCAGTCTGGATAACTCGGCCATCACCTGGCTCAGAAAATTAGTAATATTTTGAGTCCGAGTTAAACATGGACTCAAGCCAGCTCAAGTAAAATCAATCACAACTCGCACTAAGGATTTTTGTACTATATCTGATGGCTTAATACTGACTTGTAATTAAAAAAATGGAGGTTAAAAAGCCTAAAAATTGTATTGTCCTTATTTTTAACCCTAGTTCCCGATAACCTGGCATTTCACAAACTCGGCACCCTTCCAGTCCACATTACGCCGAGTTTGCGGGACTTTACTGTAGTTATAAATATAACATAATACATATTTAATATCTTCAAAAATTATCTAGGGAGAGAGGTACCCACAGTTTCTAAAATATGAATTACTAGCTGGCCCAACAGACGTTGTCCTGTCCTAATGTGGTTTTTTTGTCAATGCTCGTTCATTTTCAAGATGAGCTCGTTCGCATGGCTCGATCACGTCCTGGTTGAAGTTCGTTTGCTACGCTTACTCACCTTTAGGTTGGAGCTCGTTCGCTGCCCTCACTTGCCTTCAGGTTAGCTCGTTCGCTACTCTAATTCGCCTCCAGTTGAAGTTCGTTTGCTACTTGTCATAAATCAGCTGTTGTCATAAATTAAAAAAAATAATAGTGCTGCACCCTGTTGGTAAACCTATTACCTACCTTTTTAATGCTATAGACCAAATTGTAATGACAGAATCAAATTGTTTAGTTGAACAAGCTGTTAAGATTCTTTAATTCCATTTAAATATGAGTACTCATAAGGTTAATATGGGAAACTCCAGAGCCACTGGGGCGGAGGCCTTTTGACGGATCTGCACCAAACTATCCTTGAATAATGCTTAATAATGCCTGAAAGTTTCATTACAATCCGTCGAGGGGTTTCAGAGTCCATAAAGGACAAACAAACATACATTGGATTTTATATATATAGAAGGTAGATGATCTCCAGATTCTCAGATAAAAATTGGTTTCCATTAAATCTTGTATATTATAAAGAAAGATATTTAAATATATAATTCAGAAATTTAACTCCAATATAATTAGCAGAAGTTCTCAACCTTTGTCGCTCCACAAACTTCTATAACCCTGCATAATGTATTAAAAAGGTAATTTGTTAATTACCAAATCAAATCAAACCAACAAAAATAACTAAAAGGTACCTATCTAACTTTATCCTATTTGCAATTTCAAAAACATTCAATTTTATTTTAACCAACAGCTGACTGAAATAATGTAACTAGGGTGGTCTGCCGTTACACTTTAGACGCATAAATGAGCGAAGCATTATTTAAAGATTGTCAATGGCTAAAGCAGCTAACACCCTACAATATGTTCCCATTCAACAGATTCACCGTTTGTTTGCCCGATATTATTTAAGTTCTAAAGAATGACAAATTTATCTGATAGTTCATACTGTACCTTTGTAGTGAAACTGGCCATCCTGACTATTTGCTTGTACTTTGTAAATGGGCATAGCAGGATGTACTCGTGCAATCAACATTTGTTCCACAATCGTCAGGTCAGTTAATTCGTTCGGGACACTAGACACATCCATATTGTTTAACGCTGTGAATTTAGTTGCATTTGAACGGCAACGTGAACAAATCGGTGATTGGTTTGAAGCTGTTAGTTGTTGGCAATGACAGTTAGTGCAAGTATAGTGCTCAGTAATGACCAACAGTTTATTACATATGTTAAGCATTATAAAAACATATTTAACAAAGTTGTAAAAAAAGCAAAATTACTAGCGAATAGCAATTTTATAAAAACATCAGAAAACAAAACTAAGGCAGCTTGGCAAATTGTAAATCAAGAGCTTGGCAATACAAACCAAAAACCAAAAGAAAGAATAGTTTTGAAAGATACAAATGGTTATGAGCTTGGTAATCCTGGAAGTATTGCTAAAGTTTTTAACAATTTTTTTTCGAATACAGTAAGTAACTTAAATGTTCAAAAGGCTACTGTCAATGGAGTCCATGCTTCAGTGAAACATATCTGTAATGATAATGGGATATCATTGTGCAGCCTCAGGCTAACTAATGTGGAGGAAATCAAAAAGATTGTTCTGTCACTAAAAAACAAATCATCCGTTGGCTGGGATGAGATCCCAATTAAATTGATAAAAGCCACTGTTAATATCATTGCTGAACCTTTATCTCAAATTATTAACCAGTGTTTAATACATGGAATTTTTCCGGATAAACTAAAACTTTCCCAAATCTCACCAATATTTAAAAAGGGTCTAAAATCGGATATTAACAATTACCGTCCAATTTCTGTATTGAGTAATTTTTCTAAAATATTTGAGAAGGTCATAAATTTGAGATTGGTTAGTTATTTTGAAAGCAATCATCTATTTTATAACAAACAATTTGGATTCAGGAAAAATTTAAGCACAGGTTCTGCACTAACACAGTTTATAAATGAGGTTACCCAGGCTTTGGACGGGTCTCAGGCTACAGCTGGTGTTTTCTGTGACCTGTCCAAAGCTTTTGACTGTGTTGATCACTCAGTCCTTCAGCTCAAGCTGAGTGATTATGGTATTAGGGGAAGTTGTCACTCTCTATTGAGTTCTTACCTTTCTAATAGAAAACAAAGAACTGTAATAACACTGGATAAGATCAAGTACTATTCACCATGGGAAAACCTATCGGCAGGTGTGCCCCAAGGTTCAATCTTAGGTCCTCTATTCTTTCTAATTTACATTAATGACCTCCCTAAAGCTATTGATCAGGAACTAATTCTTTTTGCAGATGATACAACAGCCTTGATAAAAAATAATAGTACTTCTGAAATGCTATCTTCTCTTGAAAATGTGGTTCATGACATGGAAGGTTGGTTTTTGAACAATGGATTAAAACTTAATCTTGAAAAAACGCAAACAATAAAATTTTCTGTCAGAAACAATGGTAATAAAATTGAATCCCTTAAATTGGCAACGTCTCATAAATTTCTAGGTGTTTACATAGACGAATCACTTAAATGGGATGTACATCTGAATCAATTAAAAAGTAAACTTAGATCCATGTCAATTGTATTTCTGCACTTAAGGGACTGTGTTCCTAAAGAAACTCTGAAAATGGTTTATCATGCTTATGTAGAATCAGTATTGAGGTATGGTATAATCTTATGGGGTCAGGCTACCGGAGTCAAATCAATATTCAGGCTACAAAAACGCATTATCCGTATTATGACCAGCTCTCATCCACGTAGTTCATGCAAAAACCTTTTTCGAAATTTAAAAATCCACACCCTAACAGGACTGTACATCTTGGAATCACTAAACTACATTCATTCAGCTAAAAACGACCTCCCAGAATCAATTCAAATCAACCATAGATATAATACTCGAAATGAAAACATTTTTAGATTTCCAAGGCACCATTTGACCCTTTATGAAAAAAGTCCACTATATGCTGGGCTGAGGCTGTACAATGTGCTGCCTGCAAACTATAAATTGCTAAATGAAAATAATTTTAAAGATAAAATAGGTGAACTCTTAATTGACAGAGCCTTTTATTTAATTGCAGATTTCCACAATGCCCCTTTAGTTTAGAATAGTTTTATCATTCAATTTTGTTAATTATATTATCATCTTGATTACTATTTTATTTTTTATATTATGACAATTCAAACTCTGACAATGCACCTATTCTGTATGTAACACATGTAAAGAATGTTATGTGCAAATAAAATATGTCTATGTCTATGTCTATAAAATTGTAGTGTATCTAATTCATGTTGGAAGTGATTAGCTAACTGCCTATCATTATCAGATTTTTCCGCCACTGCTTCATCTGGTTCTTCTTGTTCACGACGCCACTATCTTACAATATTTGCATTATTGGTGCGACGACCAATATTACGACATGGTCTTTGAGCCATGCTCAAAACTAATATAGCAAAACTGTTACTTCCATTGATAAACTAACTTTAACCTAGGATGAAAGTAAACATTGAAATGTAAACAAAACAGTTACAAACAATTAACATATGTTTATCTTATTTAAATAAAACAAGATAAACCCATATGTCATAAACCCAATATAATTTTTCTTTCAACTTACATTAAAATAACAAGCGAAATTGCGTGACCCGTAAAATAAAATCCAGAAGGAAATTTGCAAATATTTTTTACCAAAACATTGTGCTCAGTATTCTTTAGCTGTTGGCCAAATTTCATATCAATTGGCCAAGCCATTACATTCTGATGCTCTTACAAAGAAGTTACAAAGTGAGGGAAAGTGAGCTACGCTCGCTTCGCTCAATAATAATATTTTGTATGGGTGAAAATTTTTAAATTATATAATGCTAGAATTATGACCAATTTCCTACACTACCTTCAAAGGAACCACACCATTCCCCATTTCTCCTGATCAAAATGACACTAGTTAGTTAAAACACTAAAGGTTACCACCAAGGTGTTTCACAAAATATAAATTACTTAGGTTCAGTACAAAAATGTATTGGTATTATTTACATGGATATTTACAACCTAAGATCTACAAGTGTCTAGTCCTCGTCAACATCTTCCTGCGTTGCACGAGCTCCTATGTTGACGCTGGTGGCAAGGTCCGTTTGTCCTGTCTTGAGCCGATCTCTAATTAATTCTGTGATGGCCCGCTGAGTTCTCTTCTCTAACCTCTCGAGTTTCTTCGCAACGTCTCGCTCCAATTCCCAGTCTGGTTTGCCAGGAGCCAAATTTGAAAGGTCCTGAAACATAGCAACACAACAATGTAAATATAATTAAATATTAAAATAATTAAATAAAGATTGTGTGGTCTGTATTAATACAAAAATATCAGAAACAGCCAAGCTGAAACAGTCAATAGCATTAACAGTGCTCAAATACAGTTTTTTTACAAACGGCAACAGCATCTCTGGGCAAGAGATGTCCCATTTGCAAAACATGCAGAACTCTGCAATGTGTTTTGGTTACACTATCCATAAGCGTGATCGGGTATCTCCTTTTAAGGATGCTATGGGGTTGTTGTCAATGAATGTAAATATTTTTGTATATATTTATTTTATTATTAGACTCAAGTAGTTTAAAATAACAATGACACATTAATCAATGCTTTGCATGATTTGATTAAAGATTAATTCGAATTGATGCTGTGTACAGGGTGCAGACTTGCAGCCTCAGCCACCGGATCTTAGTACAACAAGAGCCTACTTGGTGCGGAAGCTTGTGGCACAAGGGGATGTGACTCAACGCGAGACCCAGCAAACGCCTTGGCCCACTAAAAGTGCAGCTAAAAGAGGGTGAAAGTTTGAATTTGGCCCAAAGCTCTACAATGATATCGCCAAGCATCTCAAACAGCTGGGAGTCCTAGCTTTCAAAAGATACACAAAAATATTGTAAAATAATTCTATGTATGGTTCTATTTTATCAAACTCGTTGTTTTGATCATAATTAGGCCTACTGCATATGTTATTATTATTTGACAAGAGTAAATCTTTCAGCAGTGTTTTTACTGGGAGACTCAGAGATAAAGGCATTTTTAATTATTGAGCGGAGCGAGCGAAGCGAGCGAAGCTCTTATACGTCGACTCTTATGCATTTCGTAATACGCAAACTCCTCCTAGATGGCTGAATCAATCGTTTTCAAATTTTGCATGGTGATAAAGACCATATCGGTAAGTGCCAACATCTATATGGCATTAAAAAAGTCCCTCAGGAATCCGCCCCACTGGGTCTCAAGGTTTCAATGTAATCCTTATGGAAGCAGTATTTGACACATAAACAAAGACATATGATCAGCTGTTGACTTTTGAATGCAGTAGATAAAGAAATAGCTGATAGCATTATTTCACAGATATTGGAACAGAAACTGTATGGATCATAAATATACTCAAATGACGACACTAGCTTGAGGTCCGTGACGTAGGAAGTGATGAAGGATGTGCAGTGTGGGGGGGGGGGGGAGCAGTCTGGAGTGTGGACACTGTTTATGACGATTAGATTTAGGTATCTGCATTCCTAAAATTCTATGGGAAGGGAGGAAAAGGGTCCACGACGTAGGAAGTGGTGAAGGAAGTAGTCAAGGCGAGCAGTCAGGAGTGTGGGAACTGTTTATGACGATTAGATTAAGGTATCTGCAATCCTAAAATGCTATTGGAAGGGAAGGAAACAGGTCCCCGACGTAGAAAGTGGTGAAGGAAGAGGAGTAAAGACAAGCTGTTTGGGGAATGGGATCTGTTTATGACCATTAGATTATGATATTTGCAATCCTATGATGCTATGGGAAGGGAGAGAAACAGGTCCGTGACGTAGGAAGTGGTGAAGGAAGTAGTAAAGGCAAGCAGGACTGTGGGAACTGTTTGTGACGATTAGATTAAGGTATCTGCAATTCTAAAATGCTATGGGAAGGGAGGAAAACAGGTCCGCGATGTAGGAAGTGGTGAAGGAAGTAGCCAAGGCGAGCTGCCCGGAATGTGGAAACTGTTTATGACGATTAGAATAATGTATCTACAATCTTAAAATGCTATGGGAAGGGAGGGAAACAGGTCCGTGACGTAGGAAGTGGTGAAGGAAGTAGTCAAGGCGAGCTGTCCGGAGTGTGGGAACTGTTTATGACGATTAGATCAAGGTATCTGCAATCCTAAAATGATATGGAAAGGGAGGAAAACAGGTTCGTGACGTAAGACGGGGTGAAGGAAGTAGCAAAGGCCAGTTGTTCGGAGTGTGGGATCTGTTTATGACCAATATATTAAGGTATTTGCAATCCAATAATGCTAAGGGAAGGGAGGGAAACAGGTCTGTGACGTAGGAAGTGGTGAAGGAAGTAGTAAAGGAGAGCAGTCCGGAGAGTGGGAACTTTTTATGACGATTAGTTTAAGGTATCTGCAATCCTAAAATGCTATGGGAAGGGAGGGAAACAGGTCCGTGACGTAGGAAATAGTGAAGGAAGTAGTAAATGCGAGCAGTCCGGAGTTTGGGAACTGTTTATGACGATTAGATTAAGGGATCTGCAAGCCTAAAATGCTGTGGGAAAGAAGGGAAACAGGTCCGAGACGTAGGAAGTGGTGAAGGAAGTAGTCAAGGCGAGCAGTCAGGAGTGTGGGAACTAAACACCTCGACATAGAAAATTGTGAAAGAATTAGTAAAGGCTAGCAGTGTGGAAATAGGGGAATGTTTGTGGAAATTAAATTAACGTATTTCAAATACTAAAATGCTATGGAAAGTGATGAAAACAAGTCCACGATGTAGGAAGTGGCTTAGGAAATAGTAAAGTATGAGCATAGTGTGAGAACCGTCTGTGACAGTTAGATTAATGTATCTTTAATCCTAAAATGCTTTGAGAAGGAAAGGAAACAGGCCCACGACGTAGGAAGTGGTGAAGGAAGTAGTAAAGGCTGGCAATGCAGAGTGGGGGAACCGTTTGGGCAGTAAGATAAATGTATTTAATACTTAAATGCTATGAGAAGGGAAGGAAACAGGCCCTACGATGTAGGAAGTGGTGAAGGAAGTAGTAAGGCTTGCAGTGCAGAGTGTGGGAACTGTCTTTGGCAATTACATTAATGTATCTGCAATCCAAAAATGCTATGAGAAGAGAGGGAATCATGTCCACGACGTAGGGGGTGGTGAAGCAAGTAGTAAAGGTGAGCAGTTTTGAGTGTGGGAATGGATTAATGTATCTGCAAAGCTAAAATGCTATGGGAAGAGACTGTAGACTGTAGGTTAAAATGATTACGAAGCATGAATCGATACATGCAATCGTTTACAATATAAATTTACAACTGAGTTGACAACAGCCCATTTTTACTCCATAGAGGCTAAAAACGATTTTTACTCCCTAAAGAGTAAAAATGCTACTTTAGACCAGCAACGCATGTATTAAAAACGACTGTTTTCACTGCAGTATGACAAAAACAATATAATATGAACCCTTGATGACTCCGCTCAATTTTGTGGATGCCTCTGCGAACGCCACCTATTTAATTTTTGACGTTCCTTTTTAATTTTTACCTTTGATTGTTTAACAAGGATCTTAAAATATCAAAGGTTGATATTTGGACCATCACAAGTAGGCTACCATGACAAACATTGTTATACAACTATTTCTGCAAGTTAATCTCAACAAAAACAGTTTACATGAGCTGCAACCTAGAAGTCAAGCTTAGGACTACAATGTTGGAGAGCTGGGTTTATTACTTTGGTTTAGAAACAAACTCTTTCAATAGAACCTTTGACTATTAGACATTCCATCCCCATGTTAAAGTTGTCGCCAGTTGTTTAAACAAAATTGTCGTAGTTGATGTGAGCCACCTATAGATTGCGCTGATCTAATTTATTGATTTCTTTTGAGTACAAGAATTGTTTTCCAAGTCAGACTGATTTAACGACTTATTGTGAGCTATAGCAACTGTCATGACCCATAAACTGTGTTAGCGACAAAGTTTAACGTACAAAATAGAATTTTAGACACTAGCGCATTTTATAACTGGCTCACACAACAACTATGTTCTTTTTCAATAAATAATTGGCAACAGGTGGTCTATATAGATGGGATGTCTTCTTCAGTATCTAATAGCCAATAATAGAACTCCTTGATTAGAAACAAGTACTTTGGGGTTATTACTCAATTAATTATCAATTAATTGAGAGGGGGACGCCACCTAGGTGTGTATTTTAACCCAAGTATGAGCGAAAGATGAGTGTAGAATGGAGTGAGATGATCTGTGTAGCTTTTTACTGACTAAGATCAGCTGTTTCAGTAGCCAGGATTATTTACTTAAAGCCCAATGATCAGGGACAGCTGGGTCCAGTTTAAAACCATCTTAAAGCTACTGGGTTTTACAAGATGGAACTGGCGACCTTTTAATTGTTAGTCCCTATTACCACTCAGTTACTAATACTGCACATATACTGATCAATGACTAAGTAGTCTAAGGCATATTTAAAGTACAATCTATTTAATCCAAATAATGTAATACAATTATAATGGGAAAGAATTATTGCATGTGTAAGTCTGTTGTTCCATCACGTGAAAACTATGTGTCCAATAGTACTGAGATAGGGTGCATTCAGCAATCGCGTAGGTGAAAGCTTGGCTCAAAATTTTAACCCACTAAAGGATTTGTGAAGTTCATTTCCTTAAATAAAAAAAATCCTTGCAAGCCCCCAGAGAGGCCCCTGGCAACTGTCGTGTACACCCTTAGGGAAATACGGCTCAGAGCATAATACGACTAAACAATGTCTCCATTGTCCTCATTGTATTTTTTACTAAAAATGTGTTGGATACAAATACAAAATTACCCAAAATGTGTTTAATAAATAGAAATATTTTAAACTGTGCCGATAATTTTTTCTTCTATTTTATTTTATTACAGATTTTACAGGGAAATTTACTACTAACCTACACCACAGGAAAGCACCCATTCCAAGCTAAACGCAGACATAAAAATACCCGTTCTTCCCGGTGTGCTGCTGCACAAAAATTGAATGGAATGTAGGCGATACCGGCACTCACTGGTGAGCGTTTAGCGTGGCAGAAAGGAACTAGAGCAGTCACCGGTGAGTGGCCCGCAGCGAACGTGTTAATCAGCTCTCAATCGTAGCAATAATGACTAAGAAAGAACCTTCATAAACATTACATAACTAAACACTGACCAGTTCTTCAATGACCACTTTGGAGTTAGCTGCCTCTAGTTGGGACTTGACTTCACTTTCTACATCTCCAGGTTTAGCTGCAGGAACAACGTTCTCCTTCAGTGATTCATCCTCAGGAACGTAACTCCGGAATTTGGGCCTGGGGAAACACAGAGAATTAATAATCACTTTACTAAGCTAAGCAGTAATATGTGTTAACACTTCATCTAGGCCTACTTACTTTAAGCTGAATTTGAATGTAGGGTGAGTGTAAAATGCAGTCTATGTTACTGACTACGATCAGTCGTTTCTTTAGACAAGATGTTTAAAGACCCAATGAACAAGGACCAGTTTCAAACCATTATAGCTTCTGACATCTCTCAGGATCAAACAGACGACCCTCTTTTTTGGGAGTGTTACACGTTGTTCTATGATATAAGTCAATTTCACAACGTACAAAATATAATTTTTGACAACTTCCAGTATAAACTATTTGACTGTTGCACGGTGTCCAAATCTCATCATGTCCAAATATACAGTTACTGCAAGAAACATAGTCTTTCTACAAGCTTTGAACGTCATGGGATTGGTTGTCATGTTCTTAAAAATTAGCAGTAGACCACGTCCAAAGCCGCTGCTAGTTGCATGACGTCTAATAGCTCAACCCTGTCGCACGACATTCAGAGCTCCTGCATACGGAAGTAAATTAGGTCAAGTTTGGTTAGTTTATGTTAGGGTCGGTTAGGCTAGGTTAGTATACACTATAGTTGGTAAAACAGTTTACAGTGTGCAGGCTCTTTGTACGTCATGGGACAGCGTTGAGATATTGTACATCGTGCAATTGGTGCAATTGGATTTGTACGAGGATGCAACTAATACTTTTTAAAGAGTGGAATGTGCCCTGTTTCACGACAACCAATTTAATGACGTCCAGAGCTTGAAGAAATACAACGTTTATTGCAGTTACTGTACCTTTTGAACATGAGGAGATTTGGACGTCGTGCAACAGTCAAATTATTTTACAGTAGAACCTTTTTAATCCGAACCCTCGTAATCCGAACGTCCACTAATCCGAACAGCTCGGGCTACTCTACACAGAACAGTAGTTCTTCATTGGATACTGTATTTATTGGTATAGGCCTACGCACCGTAATTGTTTCTATTGTAATGTACAGTACTGTTTATTCCCTATGTTTACTACTGTATTAAATAACTAGCTGTGTGCCCGTTCTACGCACCGGGATTTTATCGTGGTCAGTTGAAACCTTCTTATATTAAGAACAGAGCAGTTGGTTTGTATATTTTCAGATATGCTGGCAAAACTATTATATATAAACCTTCGCAAATACAGTAGCTGACAGTTTCAAGCCAAAACAAATGCTTCGCAATTAAATGTCACCCGGATCATGTTGATTCAATGATTAAACCTAAACTAAACAATGCTTTATAGATCTATGAGGCATAGCTCTAAGGTAGGCCTATTATAAAAAGTTACTTTCCACGATGGTTAAAAGTATTTAAAGTACTAAGATACCTCAACCTCACAATTTAACACTTTATTCGGGTTGACATTTTCATGATCAAGGTGCTCTTGTGCTTTCTGTGAAACACTGAGAATTAAGGACATTAATGCGTTACAAACAGAAATACACACAAAAATACAGAAGATAATTAGGGAATTTGCTATGCTTTAAGTATAACAAAGTACATATAAAATTAGTATTTGAAATCTTTGTTAATGTCATCAAATTTTATCATAACAATTTATATTTGCTTGGACTGAAGATGACCCAAAATGCTGTCGAAATGGCGGCTTACTATATGAAATGAAGTACTATAGACGATTTAACTATTTACTATATATATAGTCAATGGTAGGAAATGAAAGTGATACATTGGAAAAGCGAGTTTAGCATAATCTGTAAACCTTTGTTACAATCACCCACTGCAGTTGTGATTTTTTACTTTACACTTTACACAACCGCCATTGAAGCGCCGTCGATGAGTGGAAACCTTGTTTCTAAGCTATTGGCGACGATCATTAATAAATTTAAGTTTCCCAGCCGTATACAACACTGATTCAAGGTGTTCTTTCTGGTTATCAAAACTTATGGTTAAGAGTATTGTGTAAACTATATACTGGGAGGTTATTGTTAGGATTTTGAGTTTTATGAAGAGGGGGTTGCAGTGTTCTAGGCAGTGGAGTCTCAGGTTTTCCCGGATCGTAGTCTTGTGTATGGTTAAGACCTTTTCGATGTTACTTGTGCTTGCTGATCCCCATCAGGTGTTGATACGATATTTTATGTGGGAATGAAAATGCGAGTGGTAGGCCATTACAGCTACTTCTTCATTTGTGAGTGAATGGGTGCTTATATCTATATCTATAAAAGAGGAATAACTATGTATTATGTATGTAAGTATGTATGTGTGTACATACGTTATGGACTCCGAAACCGCTCAACAGATTGTAATGAAACTTTCAGGCATTATTAAGCATCTTTCAAGAATGGTTCGAGTGAAGTTTGGTACAGATCCGTCACAAGGGCTCTGCCCCAGAGTGTTTTAAGTTGGCCAATGTCAGACTTTTTTTATCTACAATGTTTACAAATAAATATAATTTAAAAGCAGATGTTTACTTTTGCCAACTGTTTTGTATGTTTCAGTAATCACAACATTCTGTATTAGCATCATTGAGATATAGATTATAACTAACTGGAGTCACTACTCTCTGGTTAAACATTAGAGAAAAACGTGCCACTGTTTTTGCTAGTTTGTTTATGGAGTTTCGTGTTGATCGGTTGGTGGGATGCTGTCAAATTTCAATTCATTCTAACCTAACCTTACTATTCCTTTGAGGTTAGGCCTATCCGTTATTTCAAGGACTTATATAAAAAAAAACCTATTTAAGACATTGCACGTTAAAACCTGTGCATTTAAAGTTATTTTGAAACATTATAAATTGTTTTTGATAATAAATAAATAGGCTACTAACTTATTTACCTCTTTTCAAGCTATGTGGTGAAAATAGGCAGTCAGGTTTCCTGGTTTGGAGATATTGGTTTAGTCTTGGGTTTACTGTGGCAGGTTTACCTATGGCATTTGATAAAGAACGACCATCGGTTTATGATCTTGTTAAAACGGGTTGATCGTTGATCTTGCTCGTATAATAAACAATAAAACTTATATTGCAATAATAATGTTGACATATTTTTTTTTGCTATCAACAAGACAGACAAAAGGTTGACTGACGCCATCTTGATTTTTTTCCCTCTAATTTGACAAATCCCACTAACCGATCACCTGGCCAACAGTGGGCCAACCTAACAAACAACACGAAGCTCCGTTTTTAAAACACAGAGTGGTTACCCCAGTTAGTTATATTATTATAGCTCAGTGATTAGCATTATCAAAGATTACATATGGCATTAGTCATGATTTGAAATAGTGCCACAGTGTTTCTTCAGAGTGCAGCACATAAAACTATTTTACTTTTGAATAATTCCAAGTGTATTACCATTGACTATATAACACTACCTCTAGGGGTCCCACCTTTAGGCATTAATGTGTTATAATAATAATAAAAGTCATTGTTAAATACCAATATATTGCAGTGTATTTAGTCAATCATCTTTAAATTAAAACTTTACCCACACTATATAAATTATGTTGATTGTTTATTAATTTTATTTATTTTTTAATAATTCAGTCTTATTATGGTGAAATATTTATTAATCATATTTATTAATTATTTAGTTAACCAGTAACTTTCCCTTCAATCCTAGAACATTGCCCCTTATTTTTTAATGTCCACCATCAGTGTGATGATGTTATGTTATAGGTAAATTAACTCAGATGAGGAGTAATACTATTTATTATCATGTTTATGGCATTAATAGAAAAATATTATTTACAATTTTGAAAACCATTTAAGTTTTATAGATTAATTGTTTTATTTAATTTTCAGTGCTGAGGATAGATCACCTTCTATACTTAGAAATAATGAGTCCGAAGAAGAGGTGTAAACGCAGTGTAAGAACAGGAGACCCACCTAGCAACTCTTCAAGCGAATCCAGTTTTTACGAACTATCTGATGTGGAGAGCAGTGCCAGTTCTCATCGTGATAAGTCATTAACCAAACGGAAAAAATGTATGTGTATGAAATTTAATAATTTTAGCTGTAGGTAAATAGAATATGTCCATCAGGCAAGTGTATGTGATGGTATTATTTTTAATAAAGTTCTAGTAGAACGTGGATTATGGTAATTGCATTGTGTTGTTGTGTAACAATTACATACGTGTTGACTTGGGGTTTTTACGAGTTGCTATTGTAACTCTTTGAAATAGCTGGGAAGGGTTATGTGATGGTTAATTCCTGAATAATATTGTACTAGTAAGTGGTTTGCGGACACTGCATTGTCTAATTGTGGAACTATCTTACAAGATGCCTGGGGCCTTTAAAGTTGCTACTGAGACCATATTCTGCAAAATCATAACATAAGTATTTAATAAACTATAATTCCCATTATTAATTTTTTCTTGTTCAGAATTTTCTAAATTAAATGTGTTGTCAAATTGTCACTCATGTAAATATTTTATTAATGTGAAAGCTGATCAATTCATATTACTAACCATGCCTATTTTTTCAGCTAATCACCACGGAAAGTCCTTTACCAAGAAACAGAGGGTAGTGAACACTGAACAACGTGTTCGAGAAATATTGGAGGAATATAGTGAAGACCATGATTCTGACAGCCCTAATGTACAAAGTGAGTAAACTTATGTTCTTTTTTTAATTGCCCTAGTCAGTAGTCTCTTTGCTATTCTGCTATGTTATAAAATCAAATATGCCCCTATCTATTCTTTGTTAAATTATGTTGTTTTTAAAATTGTCCTAGTCAGTAGTCTCTTTGCAATCCTGTTCTCTCATATAATCAAATAGGCCCCAACTATTCTTCGTTAAATTGTGTTGTTTTTAAAATTGTTCTAGTCAGTAGTCTCTTTGCAATCCTGTGTTCTCATATAATAAAATAGGCCCCAACTATTCTTCATTAGTTCAGTCTATTAATGAAATATAAATTTTATAGGCCTAAAGTCATACTTGTTAATTTAGGTCCTTTTTACTATTAAAAAATTAAAATATCCCTTATTATAACCAACTAATGTCACTCAATATGGGTATTAAATCTATTGCTCTTAACCTACCCTAACCTAACCTAAACTAATCTAACCTAACCTAACCCAACCTATCATAACCTAACCCAAACTAACCTAACCTAACCTAACCCAACCTATCCAAACCCTAACCTAAATTCAATTTCAACTGGGGCACTACAAAAGAATTAATTTTCCACAGTGCCATTAGAAGAGGTAGTTACCGTTGCCCAGAAAGGTCGTGCAGGAGCCTTCTCCAAATGTCCCCTACCTGTTGTGAAGAGGTTATCTGCTCTTAACAAAAACGTATCATCTGGTCAAATTTTGCCAACACAGCAACCTGATGTTGCAACTGGTCAGCAAAGTTCAACTCAAGGTAGTAGCTTATCATCTGCCCAATCCCGGCCTGATGTTGCATCTGGTCAGCAAAGTTCAACGCAATGTAGTAGCTTTTCATCTGCCCAATCCCGGCCATCAAATCAATCCAAAACCAAACGCACAGGTGCATCAGGTTCAGCATCTAATCAACATAGAGCGCCCCGGGTTACTACTGTATCTACCCCGCAAGACCAACCTCCTGGTGAACCTCCTTTGCGTCATTATGATCTTGTCTTCGAAGCAGGTGCAGATTATGACCAAGTCCAACTAGAGGAGCTCGCTGATATCATGACGGGTGACGGGCCGACAGGGATGTTGCAGAAAAACCAGCGCAGACCTACTTGTAACATTAGTTTACGAGTCTCCTTTCATAGGCAATTCAAATTGCCAAAGAATGTACGCTCATCACTGTACAGACTCTTTAATGACACATTGCAGTTCCAAGTTAAGCAATGTGTAATCGGCCTTGAAGTACACGAGTCTAGATTGTCTAATTCTGTTGCCCACCTTCAAGCATTTTTCCAGTTTAAGAACAGGGTCTACTTTACGGATGTCAGGAAGCATGTAGTAGAAAACTTTGGCAATGCAGTTACGACCCTAGACGTAGGTGGAGTAGGTACAGTAAAGACATTCCGATCCTACTGTTCGAAAGATGATCCCGACTGTTTTAACATTGGACCACACAAAGATCTCCATCAGTTTGCGAAGAGTATCATATCGCTTAAGGACCAACAAGTTTTCCGATATTCATCCAAGATAGCCTTCCAGTCGCGAAATTGTCTCAACTACACCGAAAAGTGTCACGAAGAGCTGAGGCTTATGTCTGTTCCAGATTTTGCTGGGTTTCAGTATCAGAAGCTACCTCCAATTGGTTGGTGCAAAGAACTCATAGATCATATAAAGTACTTTATTGACAATCCCAATAACGAAAGTGTCAGGCAGCGTAGACATTTGGTATTGCACGGTATGCCTGGTACAGGGAAGAGCACGGCTGTTAGACTTCTGTTTACAAAGATAGACCATGAGCATCGTGTTTTTTTTCCTCGAGATCAAGGCAGTTTTATCCTCAGTGGTTTGAAGGCTGGACATCATAAGTGCATTGTATTTGATGAGCTCAGTTATCGGCAATATAAAGCGAACATGTCATTGTTCAAAAAGCTATTTTCTGGAGACAAGTTAACCATAGACGAGAAGGGTGTCAGTGTAGGAAATACTCTGGAATGGCGTTCACCAATCATATGCACGACCAACGAGGACATCACTACTTGGCACGACCCAGCACTAACAACTCGAGTAAAGTATGTTCAGGTTAATGAGAGCATAACCGAATTGATTGCCACCTATTGTGCTGCCACTAATGTAGACCCTAATACATTTAATCAAGAACCCGTTGAAGTCATACAACTGCGCAAGGATGTTGACCTACAGATGTGTGTTGTTGATGGAGTAATAGAGCGGAAGAAGATTCAACATGATCTCAATTTGTACATCCCTAATGAACTGTTGGAACCAGTCACTGATGAATCTGTGGATGAACTATTGTCCCCATCTAGGAGTATCGGTTTGTCTGAGGCCATGTCAATATCACCATGTCTTGTAGGCTCTGTAGTGGATAGCCCTGATTCTCCAGCTGCTACTGCTCGTCAGGCTGCTTTTCAGAAACTTCACCAAGCACGTGCCAGGAGGGGTACGCATCGCCGGAGACTCACTTTCGACTCTCCAGGTTCCTCGCGTAAACAACAGTTTGCCACACCTCAAAAGCCATCAATTACTAACCGTAGGCAACGACCCATCCGGCCTGCATCATCGACTCCTAGAAAAACATCCACACCAAATTGTTTTCTCAAGGTTGCATCCCAATCAATGCCTAACCTTTCAGTCAGGACCCCAGTGATGTCACCTACCAATCAGCTCTTATTTACTCCTGTTCCAGTTTCTCCTAATATAACATCTACTCTCACTCCTATATTTTCAGCTAGTTACCCAACCAATTCTCTACCGTTCATCCTGACAAATTCACCACAATTTAGTGTGTCATCCGAAGGTTCTGCCGATCGTTCCATAGTGTTTCTAGGCCAATCCCCACAAACTGTTACTAGTGGGCCTGAATCTTTAAGTGTTATAGTACCACCCAATACCACAGTCACCATGATACCATCACAACCAGGTCCTACTTCCAACCCTGTCCATGATTCAGGCGTGTCTAATACCCCAGCCACCTCAGCTCATACCCTCTTTCAATCATACCCCAACTCCGCTGTAGCAGACCAGCCTGGCAGTCAATAGTGGTGTGTATTGTTTACTAAACCATACTAATAATAATACATAATATAAAGATTTTGTTTGAAAATTACTATCCTGCAATATTAATTGTATAAACTGTTGTGATATTTGAATAATCATTGATATAATATATCTATCAAAAAATATTTAGGCAGTTTTCCTTGTAGCAAACAAGTTATTGTCAAACGTATAGTTTAACAGTGCAACAAATTAAGAGTATTATGAATTTGTTTAATCTGAAGTGAAGTTTTATAATTTAAATAAAATTTTAATCTGTTATAACTTTGTAGTAATTAATATTCAGAATCAACACTTTATGAATATGGATTTGTAAATTATGAACAATTTAGTAATGTTATGAATAGAAATTAAGAAATGTATATACTAAATAGATTCCGATTTATTTATATCAATACTCTTTGCTATTTTCAGTAACACCATATGGCAGCGACCCTGAATTTGTAAGGCAGCTTGAGAGGGACATACTTTTTCAGGGAACCAACACTAAGTCAACAGCAACACTAACATATGACGGTATGTAGGATTGTTTGATGTATTTAATAATGTTGTGTTTTATATAATTTTGCGTTAGGGTATGTGTGATGGATTCTACAGTTATAAATAATAATCTAGGTAGTATGGCACCTTGTCTGGCGGTGTTGTCAATGAGTATTGTATATATGCTTTTTAAAAAAATTTGTAATAAATGTTCTTCTAATATGATTAATTTTTATTAAATTTAAATCTGTATAGTGTTTTGTTCGCTTCACCCAAACAAGAAATCAAATATAATCATACCACTCAGTAATAGGTAATAATACTCTCAGATGTTAAAGGATGAAACCAACGATTTAATCAATTTGATAATAATCACTCGCTTAAACCTTGTCATAGCGGAAGCCAGTGCCATAAACCTTATTGTATCACCTACAAATGGGAGTCAGGATCCCTTCCAAGTCCCGCATGGCGCTAATAAACAGCACAACTCAGTCCGGTACCTCAACTCAGTCCCACTTTATTTTTGGCACAAGGCTGCCGCATACAGTCCCACATTCAAACGGGTTTCGGTATCCGTATCAAGTCCCGTATGGCGCATATAAATGGCACCCTGCATCTGCCTCTCAGTCTGTTTCGAAAATTTGGTCCCTAATCATTAATCATACAATGGTGGGAACAAGGACACACTAGGAACACTCAGAAATAGTTAACAATACCCTCACACATCAAACGACAATACTAACGAGTGAAGAAACCTGATAATATTACAATTTCAAGCATTTTTACTTAGCATTTATTTGTAAAAAGGAACATAATGGAAGCTGGGGCTAATTACTGTCAATTTCTTGTTATGCTTGTGTATAGTATTGTTGTAAATCATGTGCAAATTTAGACTATTGATGAATAGTGTACTAATGTAAATTTGTTTTATTTTCTGTTTCAGTGTTCAGGAAGTCAGCTCAAAATAGTTTGCACTATTTGTTTTATATATGGTTCTGCAAGACTGCACAAACAAATTTCTACGTGGAGCCCATACTTGGCCTCAAGTACCCACTTGTCCACCTTATAAGGGACCCTCAAGCAAAATGGGACGTATCGTCAGGTGTTCCTGGTCCTGTTGTGTCGCTGGTGTTGGATTCCTTGTGTTATTACCAGACCTTTTCAAAGACCCAGAAAAAGAATTTATCAAAATCGCTCAGGCGCTTTGGTAGACGACTCCTGGATAAAGGGACTTACCGATCTCCAAGTACCATCCACGGCAGCCTAGCCACACTCCCTCCTACCAGTATATTCCAAATAGGCAGTGGTGAGTATTATATCAAATAGTAATCCTCACTAAAACTTATTGTAATACTAATCAATATAGAGGCATAGTAAACTATCATATCGGAATTTATAATATTACAGGAATAATGCATCAAACCCATATAAACATATCACCTTTGTAACAAATCTCAATCTCAACCCCCTAAATTCTTCAATAATCCATTAACACCATAAAACCAATAACCCACAATTAATTCAAATTGCTCTTTTTTCCAGTGAAGTTTCCAAGCTGTCTTTTCAAGGAGCGAGCAGTTATAAAACTCTTCAATGAGATCAGGAAGAATGGATTTGGGGTTCTGCAGGGAACATCTGCTGCCGCCAAGGAAATTGCAGAACTCGACTCAATGGAATTGGATAACAAACGGCTGCGGAAATTAAATGAAGAGAAGCAGAACCTTCGAGAGAAAATTAAGCGAGCAGAGGTATGTATATAATTTTATAATGTAGGTGAAATTTAAAATCATTAGAAACTCTTAACATTACTCTACTCAGCCGTGGTTGTATACCATCTCTTATTCTTCATAATTTTGTTAATCAAGTGGCAAATAACATCAATCCTAACCTAATCTGATTGAAAACTTAAGCGGTATGGGCTTAAAATCTCTTTGCGTAATTGCTCTACGTTGAATTTTAGAGTCAGAATTAAACGAGCAGTGGTAAGTGTTAAGTATACAGTAGGGTGTAGAAAATGGTCAAGTAAAATCAAATAATCAGTAAATTTGGGCTAATAATAAGGATGTTGTATTATATATTTCTTTGTATTTGTCTTTCCAATCCGAGCAATATTGTCATAATGAAATTTTTTTTTATTGCAGGTCATGATATGCATTGTGAAATGTGTTTGCTGTTTTAACAATATATTATTTGGAATCATTTGTATATGGCAAAAACTTTTTATTAAATCCCATTTGTTGTGAAAAATCATGCCATGTAGTCCTAATTGTTGTTGTGTTGTTTGTAGGATGGGATAGCGGAGTACGAGCGAGTTCTTCACGAGAAATTGGAGCAATACAAAATGGTGGCGGCGGCTGATGATGCCTTTGAGCGGCTGGTGAAGCACGTTCGTAAGTTGCCACTCAATGGTCTTGAGGGCATCTGCCTTGCGATGGTCAGGAGGGTACTGATGCAGACCGACCCCCCTCCCAGGAGTTTAGTCGATTTCATAAATGTCACCCTCGAAGTGCAATCGGATTGGAGGTTTGTATATTTAATTTAAAATTTATTGCATCTACTAATAATTGGTGCCTGCTTAGTATACAGAATGTGTTATCAAAGGCCTTCGGTGGTGTACTACTTTCATGTTTCCCTCATAGGTACAAAATTACTAACTAAAAACATTCAAACTATCTTCTGCCGTTCTATAACTTTGGTTTCCATGCAACTCATTAAACAAGATCTAATGTTTTCGAATTGGTTGTTCATCCTAGCAGTTGTTATATCATATATATATATATATATACTAAATATATTTTAATTTTTCAGGAATGAGCCTAAACCTCAGTGCTTCTGTGAGATGAGGTACTGCTGGACTTCACACATGCCTAGGCTCAGGGCTCATTATGAGGCACCCCGCCAAACGACAGTTGTCCGCCATCCACCCCAACTCACTCCCATTTCAACTCATTCAAGGTAATTTCCAACACATCTATTATATTCTTAACGAATGCCTATTTATATACTATTTACCACACCATAACACATTATCATTACTATAAATGCTAACCAATTGCAGCCATTAAACCCATTATACTCTACCTATTACCCTGTCCCCACAAATACAGTAGAACACTATAACAAGACCTCTTTGAAATTCAAAATTAGACGGTATTAATGTTGACTTTTCTGTGAAATATGTCCAGACAATCTATTAGTTGTGTAAAATTTAATTGGTAATTGAAAATGCTTTTTGTTAACTAGTGTCACAACATATAGTGGGTATTATTATTAATGCTCTACTGTATACCTGAAACATTGTTTAATAACATAGGCTATGTTAATACCACTCCCATATACAGTTATATACTAAATATTATGTTAAACAAAATTATAATCACCATACACATCCCTTTTTAAAACGTTTTTATTAGGTCGCTTTCTTGTCCGCTACAAATTTTGCAACCGATTTTATACTAACTTCCCGATGAGCTAGGGACTTGAAACTTGAAACATATCTCACAAATGGAAGACAATGCAATATTATACAATTTAATTTTCATATTTCCCTTGGGCTACGCCCCATGGGCTTGTTTTTATTAAATCGATTTCTTGCAAATTTTGATACTTCCCGATGAGCTAGAGACTTGAAATTTGAAACATAGCTCACAAATGGATGACATTGCAATATTATATCATTTAATTTTCATATTTCCTTTCGGGCTACGCCCCATGGGCTTGTTTTTATTAGCTCGCTTTCCTACAAATTTTGATATCAATTTTAAACGATGTAACCGATAAGCTAGAGACTTGAAATTTGAAACATAGCTCACAAATGCATGACAATGCGATATTATATCATTAAATTTTCATATTTCCCTTGGGCTACGCCCCATGGGCTTCCAAATTTTTCATGTTTACATTTTGAAAGGATGTAAATATATCAACTAATTTAAGTCAGCTGTAACTACTTAAATTTGACAGTTCAAAAAGCAGAGGTTAAGAGGTACAGGTTCTGCTCCCAAGAGATTCTTTATACAAACAAACATTTCAAAATAAAGATAAACAATCTAATTGCAGATATAAAGGAGTTTGTTAATAATGTCGTTTGTTATTTATTTAGTATTCTATAAAGTAAACAATAAATCAAATAGATTGATATATTTATAGTTAGTAGGTAGGCCATACATGCAATCTAATACATAATTATATGCAAAGAAACTCAAATAAACCTTAGATTTCCCACATGCCTCTGTCTTAATCTGATATAGACGCTTGAAATAGATTTAACATGCACACACATTAAAACTAAAAAGTATAAAATAATTTATAAATAAAAAACTTTTTTAAACAAAACGTTTTTAAACGCCCTAAAAAGTAGAAAATAGTTTACAAATAATTTATAAATATGTTGAGAGAGTATAAATACTTGTACGATTTAAAACGAAAAACGTGGGGTGCATGCAATAGATAGTTTACAATTACCTTCACCTACTGAACTAATGTATTATTATCAATTAATTGCATGCACCCAACGTTTTTCGTTTTAAATCGTACAAGTATTTATACTCTCTCAACATATTTATAAATTATTTGTAAACTATTTTCTACTTTTTAGGGCGTTTAAAAACGTTTTGTTTAAAAAAGTTTTTTATTTATAAATTATTCAACAATTATTTACCGCTGTTTCTAAAGTATCATGGGTCATTGTTTCAGGTCAGATCCAGTAATGACTTCTCCCAGAACTTTGCAAGAAGAGCAACTCCCCATTATACCAGAAGAAGGGCTCCAATCTGAACAAAATGATGTTGAGTCAAATTGGTAAGTTCCAGTAAATACATGAATTTCAAACTTGTTCACACTTATTAAAACTGTAACATTAACAAAAAATTCTATTTGTCAGTTAACTGTTCATGAGTTGTATACTGCACAGCAATACCGGAAGGAAATTGGAGCTCATGTTTTAATAAATTATTAATTATTATGGCTTGTATAGTAACCTACTTTCACCAACATTATGTACTGGGTTATCCTGGTCTAAATGTTTTCACCATTTGCTTTGCATAAGTCATGTGGCTCCCTGTGTGTCATTGGGATTTCGGTGCAATAACATACCTAATGGTATTTTTAAAATTTTTAGTTATTTGCCTGTAAATGTTCTATTTGCCTATAAATGTATTGCATTAGTTGTTTTTATATTATTAAATTATGTACCTAAACTCAGGGTTGCTGATCTTCCATCTTATACTCTATGTCAATAGTCCATAGTAATTATAAATAATTCAACACTCTTGTTTTATGTTCATAGTGCTTCAGTAACAGTAGCTGGCGAAGGAGGGGAATCCGATGTTGAAAGAGGGGGTGTGTCCAGCGCTCACGGCAGCGAAGCTGAGCAGGGGACTCGTCCCAAACGTAGGTGTGTATTCTCTCATTCTTCTTAGGCTGGCCATTTATTCTATATCAAACCAAATTGTCATTGCAATATATATATGCAATTGCTGATTGGGAAATACATCTATATAAAATTGGTAAATGTATTTCCATTGGCTTCATTTGGAATAGTTTATGAGATTAGGTTCATTGTATTGCTATTATAAAGCTATGGATTTTAATTTTATGCCCATTTATCTCAACATATTTAACACCAGCCGTATATATTGTAGTTAGTATTGTTTGTTAGATGCATTGTAATTGAAAACTTGTAAGAATAATGTAATTAGCCATCTATATTGTTTATTGTTGTTTTTAAAAGTTATTAAGTGACCCCGCACCGAAATTATATCCCTCATAACGGCACCAATACTACTCCCATGTTTATCATCTAATCGCCACCCTAAGTAGCACCAATCTGAAGGTATTATTGGCACTATGTATTGGTCCCTTGTTACCGGACTACTATTTGGTCCCTCTTATGGTATCAATCCGTCACCGTAATCGGTACCAATATGTTGGTATCTTTGGCACCGTGTAGTAGTCCCATGTCACGGGACTACAATACACACCCTTTTGTATGTTCTTAATGAACCTATATCAACCTATATGAATGAAATATATCATTTTCTTATTTCTCATATGTATTTACCTCTAACAGGTTCAGGGAAGTATTTAATTTTAAAGCTTCATGCTAATCAGCTTTACAGTCATTATTAATGAATCATCTACTTCAAATTTTTTATGAGTGTTTGCTTGTTGCAGCAGGAGGGGAGGAGCCAGCAATGCCGCTAAAAAGTGCAACGTCTTTCTTCGAAGTCGGAAGCGGGACCCATCTCCTGTTTGATTGGTTAATTTGACTACAAGCCCTTAATATTATGTGAGATTGTAACAAAGCTCTTTTCAAATAATTCTTCCATAACGGAACCCTTTTAATAATTACAATAGATTTCTCTCATTAGTATTTCATTTTCATATTATATAATTTTCAATGTATCTTTTTTTATCATTTGCAGTCATGGATTTCCAAATTTTATTATTTTTCAATATCTAAGTATAGTAGTCAGTTAAGCCAACAATTTTCATGGGCCTTTTGCTATATGAAGGTACAAGTTCCTTTTGAGCCCATAATCAAAATGGAAGCAAGATACAGTTGGTGGTACATTGAATTGATTTTATTATATGATTATATTTATTTCCCATAAATTCTTTTCTTAAAAATAGCTTTAATAAATATTATTAATATATAAATAATGTAATTATAATAAGTAATTATTTTGATTTTTAAGTCTAATTTCTAACTGCAATAAATTCTGTATCATATATAACATTCTCTTTACCACCACATTCCAGTCAACTAGTATGTTTACCTGAATGGTGTTGAATGTGTTTCATTACGATCCGTCTAGGCGAAAGGTTAAGCGTGAATGTGTTTAATTAGGTTTAAGGATTTATGGCCATATAAATTTACCATTTAATGGTCATTTATATATTTTCCTGGCACTGTCACATTAATGCTATAGCACCAGTTGGCTGTGTTGATGTAATTTCATCCCCAGTTAATTTGGTTTATAGTAGTGGTAGTGTCTAAATTATGAATAAAGACTAACCAATTTATTGACATCAATTTTCATTTGTAGCGGACAGCTCGTACGGAGGCCATGTGGGATGTGTCTGTGCAATGGGGTAAAACTTGTTGTGTGGGCAGATTCCGGGTGGTAACTCCATGTCTGTTCTGCTTGTAGGCGGATCGTCTTCCCCATGTTCGGTGTCCTATGCCCCGTCCCATTTTTCCAAAGCCTGGACACTGTTTTGGCTAGCATTTCGCTAGCCGTTTATTATTAGCGTCACACTTCACCTGTAATCCTGTTAGCAGTGGGGGGATTATGGGTTAATATTCTAGCCACTACCCATACCGTTAGCTTATATTGCTCGGTATCGTGGTGGGTGTCAGCTGTCACCCCCACGTTAAAAACCCTTGACTCAGAGTAAATCTTTGTCAATAAAAACTACTTTCTTTGTGGTGTGGTCGTGCTGTTTAAAATGGAAGAATATTTGATTGAGCTTTCCGATTCATGTCAAGTATATAGATATGATTTCTATTCTATGAATTTTTTGTATTATATTGAAGTTCAATATTTGTGCATTGTATAGTAAAAACTTTTGTTTTTCTCTACTATTATAACAAAATCACTCGTTTTACTACATTTGCTGTGTTCAGTTTTATTTTCATCCATTATGTATATGTTAGATGATAGGGGGTCAGTGTTTTAATATTGTTAACTATTGCTTTAAAAATATATCTATGTAATATTAATAATAGACTAGGCAAGTTCGCTCTATTGCCAACCTTTTTATATTAATAGTCCTATGCGTTGTTATTGTTGGCAACGTGTATTGCGGTAAAAGAAATACTCTTAACACTCTTAATGCCATTGTATTGTTATTTCAAGATTTTATAATTGAGTATGATATGATGGCTGTGACTAGTTAATAATGTTTGTATATTTGTTGTAATATAATGAGGTTTATTATTGTGTTGCTAGGTGGGTCTTTGTATTTATAATTGTTTTGTAAATCGTGTGTTTTGTAAATTAAGCTTGTTATTTAATTAAACTGTAATGTAAAGTGCATTGTATAGGGTGTCCCACGAAGGGGTTTAAACGTTTGATTTTATATTACGCGCCCATTCATGCACCGAACTTTTTGAAACTTTACACAGTTTACAAGGTAGGTTTTAAAAATATTCTGGAAAAATTTCAACTCCCTAACCTTAGAAGAAACAAAATGGCGGCATATTGAAAAAGTTACTTTAAAACATTAAAAAAGGTATTTTTGGTTTTATAAAATATTTTTATTGTTACTTTCCAGGGCAATATGACTTAAAAAAAAGAAAAAATTAGAACATAGCCAAATGGAAAACTAAAAATTAATCAAACAACTAATAAATAATAATAATAAATAAATAACTAATAATAAATCATGAAAGTAGTTTTTATAGAAAGCACATTGGTAAATTTGTCAATAAGCCGCCATTTTGTTTCTACTAAGGTTAGGGAGTTGAAATTTTTCCAGAATATTTTTAGAACCTACTTTGTAAACTGTGTAAAGTTTAAAAAGGTTTGGTGCATGAATGGGCACGTAATATAAAATCAAACGTTTAAACCCCTTCGTGGGACACCCGGTGTATATCATATATATAATATTGCTAGGTGGGTCTTCTGATGATATGAGTTATATTAAGATACGAATAATGTATTGTAAGTGTTTCTTCAATTTACTGTTAAAACTGTAAGCTGTGTGTAATCTGCGTTATGAATTATCAAATAACTGTTTTACAACAATGTAACTTTGTTATTTCACATAAGCTTAGTTTTCAACATGACTAAATGGCATTGTGCCATTAATTTGCTTCATATTATGTTCATATTTCTATAGTGAAATGTTCAAATTAAATTTTAAATAAAACTTTTTTATATCATGTTACTTTATTAGCCTATTCACTACCCGACTATATTCTATTAAAATTAGTGCACTGGTATGACCTTGAAAATTCTGAACTATACATGTTGCCTACCAAGGTCTTGTAATTTACATCACTTTAATATCAACATATATCAAATTCTTACCAAAATATTTTGTATCAAGATGAACACCAGTTCATCACAGTTTATTTTGATTACAATTGTTTTATTATATATAAATACTAGCAGAGGACCCGTCCTTCGTCCGGGGTTGATGTATGTTTAAATGGTGCTTTTTGAAATCTGACATGAAAAAAAGAGTAAAATAAGATTGAATTCCAATAAATGTACCTATCAAAAACTATTAACTTACTAATTACATAAAAAAAACATTTTCAAACAATAAAACAAATAAAAAAACTCAAAGCTTTTACGTACTTTTAAATGATAAAATCAAACATAGACAAACAATAATTTACAACATCTGGTTAATATTACGGGTTGAATTAAATTAAACATGTGATCTTGTTTCTAAAAAGCATTGCTCACTAAGCATTGATTATAAAAATATCGCATTATATACTATGTGAGCAAACAAAAACATTAACTCTCTTACTACAGTACAGAAACATACTTAGCCCTATTATTTATAACTCCTACTGTTCATGTACCAAAGGCAAGTGCATATAAAACTTATATGTCAAGGGTCGGTTAAGTTAAGAGGAACTTGGTTAAAAATTTACATGTAATGACCATGGAACGCTCGTAAAAAGTTATTCATTATGAGAATAGAATGTGAAATCTACAGGAAGTGTCAAAAGTTATGCCAGTAGCTACCACTGGATTTGAAAACATCACAACTAATCTATAGGTAGTAATTAGGAATATGAAATTATTATTTAAAAATGTGTGAAAAGGCAAATGGTGTGAACAATATTTCTCTCAAAATGGAAAAAATGTACAATTAATTATCTCCTTGAGAAAAAAGTTTCAATTTTTAAGGTGTGTGTGCCCTACTCTAAACACAATTTAAGTGTACAAAAATGTTAAAATGATTCAAGTAAATGTGACTTTATAATTTTACTATTTTTTACACCAAAACCTTTCAATACAATCATTCACATTAGCGAAATTTTAAATAATTAATTAGGGTTGGATAAAACACCAGATATACAATCTCACTTATTTCATGAAACCAATAATCAATGAACCATCAAATATAAGAATAAATAAACATGTCACATGATAGTAGAGAATATTATATGCCTATTTATAAACCAGCTGTGGAATTGTAAATTAATGTGGTTTGACAGTTCAGCTTATTTACATTTGGGTGGGATAGAAAATTGTAAACATTGTGTGTGTTTTAATGGCAGCCATGGAGACCAATCAATATTTACTTTTAAAATCCTCACCTCAGAACTTTTAAAGCCAAAGGGGCAAAGCCCACGGTCAGTATCAAAGTGTGAATAGTCCTATAATGGTCCTTGGTATGGTAGCTATACTTTTGTAAAATTTAAGCCCAGTCAGTTCAGTAGTTTATGTGCCTATTAGTAACACACATACAGACACCACTAGATTTTTATATAATAGTATAGATAGATATAGATTTCTATTAACTCACCTGAGTATCAGTACTATGAAACTTTTGATGTTGCCAGGAAGGGCGTCTGCTTCAAAATGGTAGTATGCAATATGCATTCAATAACATGCTGTCAATGTGCAATAAAGTAATCCCTACTTAACAACAAATACACTAGTTAAGTAGGACTTGTTACTTTTACAGTACTTACCAAAACCTCAATCATTTAGATTTCAAATATAGTGGAATAGCATTGTCTATGATTACCTGCCAACAAAGCTGTATCTGTAATAGTAGTACTGTGTATTAGTATTACTACTCACAAAATGGTCGTTCCCGCCAAAATTCAAAAAACAAGTTATAACTTTTAAATAGTTTTATAAATAAAACTATTATTCTAAGCTAGGGCTACATGTATTTTATCAGTTTTAAATTCATCTGTAAATCATATTACCAATCATTCTAGTAATTGACATCAATTCGTATCATAATATTGTTTCATCTCTCTCTTTAGCGTTAAAGCTCATGCCTCGGTACTTGTCAATAGTCCTTCACCACTTAACTAAACACGGTCCCATTCTAATACGTTATGCTGAACCGTAATCAGGTCCCTTCAACTAGGACCTCTACTTGGTCCCTACTTAGTATAAATTTGTCACCGTACATAGTGCCTTAACGGTTTTGATTTTGGCACCCTGTTTTAGTCCCGTGACGCGGGATCACATCTCAGCATGTCGGTACTACTTCCGGTGACGGATTCATGTTAAAAACGGGACCGTATGGTAGTCCCGTGAGGGGACTAATACACGGTGCGATAGATACCAAGTATTTGGTACTAATTCCGGTGACGGATTGATTCTATAATAGGGACCGAATGGTAGGCCTGATTCACGGGACCAATACATGGTGCTATAAAAACGATTAGATTGGTACTACTTAGGGTGTCGTTTAAATAATACAACTTAGGACTGGTATTGGTGCCGTTATGCGGGATAAAATAACAGTGCGGGGTCCTTTAATAACGTTTGACAACAATAACTACAAAAAAGGCTAACAAATTACATTATTCTTGACAGTTTTGAATTTCACTGTATATTACAAACAATAGGATTTTTTTCCCGTCTACAATTCTAATTGTTAAATAATTAATATCACTTTTTTGCTTTTGACTTGGAATTTTTTTGAATAACAGGGCAGTTATAGTGCGATGTACCTATAACTTGTACCAAGAAGTTTGGCAAAACAATTTGACAACTGTATATACCATCTATCTATATATTAATAGGCAAGCATGTTTCTTTAAAACCTTTTTTCTCAGCTCGTGTGCATCGCAGGGAAAATCTACGCATACTGTTGGAAAGATATTTTCCTGTAGATGTGCAGAATGCCTTTAAAAGTTAAAATAGGCTAACAAATAAGCACAAAAAATTAATTTGAAAACTTCAAAAAATTAACATGGACCATATGGGTTGCCATGATGGTGACGAAATAACAACAAAATGTAAACAGAAAATCAAAACAAATGGAAGAAATTCCAATCACATGTTTTATTTACAGCGTGGGGAGAAAATAGAGAAGTCTGTACATTAATTATTTTTGGTCGAGTTTCGACCACAGGGCGATCACTAGTAATAACTAATGTACGACCTTATAAACGTTATATTCTTCATGGAATATATATTTATAACAAAAGGTTTAAGTAATTATACTGAATACATTAGGAACATACGAAAGGTTGTGTATTGTAGTCCCGTGACAAGGGTCCAATACACCGTGCCAAAGATACAAAGAGTTTGGTACTAATTCTGGTGACAGATTAATACTGTAAGAGGGACCGAATGGTAGTCCAGTTTCAGGGGATCAATACATGGTGCCATAAATACATTAGATTGGTACTACTTACGGTGACGTTTCAATTATAAACGTAGGACTGGAATCGGTGCCGTTATGCGGGATATGGCACCATGTATCGGCACACGGAACCTGTTTCAAGTCCCTTATACTTACGGCACACGGGACCTGTATCCAGTCCCGCATCCAATCGGGACTAGGTGTCTCATAGGAACGGTACCCGGTAATGGTCCCTCGTTCCGGTACCTCTACTCAGTCCCACATTAAAACGGGAGTCAGTACCAGTTTCAAGTCCCTTATACTTACGGCACACGGGACCTGTATCCAGTCCCGCATCCAATCGGGACTAGGGATCCATACCAAGTCCCGTTTGTATCATAGGAACGGTACCCGGTAATGGTCCCTCGTTCCGGTACCTCTACTCAGTCCCACATTAAAACGGGAGTCAGTACCTGTTTCAAGTCCCTTATACTTACGGCACACGGGACCTGTATCCAGTCCCGAATCCAATCGGGACTAGGTGTCTCATAGGTAACGGTACCCGGTAATGGTCCCTCGTTCCGGTACCTCTACTCAGTCCAGCATTAAAACGGGAGTCTGTACCAGTTTCAAGTCCCTTACACTTAAGGCACACGGGACCTGTATCCAGTCCCGAATCCAATCGGGACTAGGGATCCATACCAAGTCCCGTTTGTATCATAGGAACGGCACCCGGTAATGGTCCCTCGTTCCGGTACCTCTACTCAGTCCCGCATTAAAACGGGAGTCGGTACCAGTTTCAAGTCCCTTATACTTACGGCACACGGGACCTGTACCCAGTCCCGCATCCAAACGGGACTAGGGATCCATACCAAGTCCCGTTTGTCTCATTGGAACGGTACCCGGTAATGGTCCCTCGTTCCGGTACCTCTACTCAGTCCCGCATTAAAACGGGAGTCGGTACCAGTTTCAAGTCCCTTATACTTACGGCACACGGGACCTGTACCCAGTCCCGCATCCAAACGGGACTAGGGATCCATACCAAGTCCCGTTTGTCTCATTGGAACGGTACCCGGTAATGGTCCCTCGTTCCGGTACCTCTACTCAGTCCCGCATTAAAACGGGAGTCGGTACCAGTTTCAAGTCCCTTATACTTACGGCACACGGGACCTGTACCCAGTCCCGCATCCAAACGGGACTAAGGATCCATACCAAGTCCCGTTTGTCTCATAGGAACGGTACCCGGTAATGGTCCCTCGTTCCGGTACCTCTACTCAGTCCCGCATAAAACGGGAGTCGGTACCAGCTTCAAGTCCCTTATATTTACGGCACACGGGACCTGTACCCAGTCCCGCATCCAAACGGGACTAGGGATCCATACTAAGTCCCGTTTGTATCATAGGAACGGCACCCGGTAATGGTCCCTCGTTCCGGTACCTCTACTCAGTCCCGCATTAAAACGGGAGTCGGTACCAGTTTCAAGTCCCTTATATTTACGGCACACGGGACCTGTACCCAGTCCCGCATCCAAACGGGACTAGGGAT